CAGTAGTCTTTTTCTTTTTCAATCTGGGCCCTGGAAATTTCTAGGTGGGCTTTTTTGTGAATGGGCTTTAGGAGAGGCTTCCTTCATGGACGACACTTATGTATGCCATTCCTCTGCAGTGTATGCCGTATTGTGTCACGGGGAACAATCACCACAGTTTGGCCTTCTACTTCTTTAGCTAACTGAAGTGAACTTGCATGGCGATCTTCTTCAACCCTTCTCATCAGAAGACGCTCCTGTCGAGGTGTTAACTTTAGTGGATGGCTTGGACGGCCCTGTGAGATGGTTATAGTTCCATCTTTGTTCAATTTTTCTATCACTTTTGCTACAGTATCCTGACTGATAAACAAAGCTGATCTTCTTGTAACCTTCACCTTTCTTGTTTAAAGAAATTATTTTCCTTCTCAGGCCTTGTGACATTTCTCTTCCATGTGGTGCCATTGCTGACAGCATGAAATGGGAAGGGGTTTTCTTTGTTAAGTAATGCCCTTTTATAATCAACTGTCTGCTGGACACCTGTTTAATGAATAATAAGACTCACCTGTAGTTGAAGTCTTGTTAATTAGGATTTTGTTGTCTAAAATTGAGATGAGCGAAGAAATGAAAAATTCGATTCGACTGATTCGGCGGAATTCGTGGACAATATTCGATTCGAGTCGAATAAATTCGCTGTGAATTTAACTTAAAAAAGGGTGTTTCTAGGCTTCAGAGAGACTTAATATTAGTGCAGAACACTGTACCTTTAATTTAAATGCCCTTGGAGTCTGCTGGGGAAGAGAAATAATACTGTCAGTCAGTATGACATGCAGATGAGTGCCGTCGATCTTAGAATCACCGCACACTTCACTCATTTGGGCAGTCACGGGGCCAAAACCAGAGTGTGGAGCCACAGTGTGGCGGTGGAGGCAGCAGCAATGGGAGGCCATACAGCACCCTATGACAAAAATGGAAACCACCAGCAGTGTGAGGAGACCTGAAAGTGGCACATGGCAGAGTGTGGCGATAGAGACAGCAGCAATGGGAGGCCGTACAGGGACCCATGACACACTCTGGACCTGGCAGCAGCATGAGGAGGCGGTACAGGGGCCCATGACAGATTACGGGCTGGCAGCAGCATGAGGAGTCGGTACAGGGGCCCATGGCAGATTACGGGCCTGGCAGCAGCAATGGGAGGCCGTACAGGGACCCATGACACACTCTGGACCTGGCAGCAGCATGGGGAGGCGGTACAGGGGCCCATGACAGATTACGGGCCTGGCAGCAGCATGAGGAGTCGGTACGGGGGCCCATGACACACTCTGGACCTGGCAGCAGCATGAGGAGGCGGTACAGGGGCGCATGACAGATTACGAGCCTGGCAGCAGCAACTTGGACAGGAGGACGTTCAGCTTCTGCACCGTCGGGTGCGTGCTCGCAAACTGTTGTCTCTTGGAAACGGATTCCAAGAAAGACTGCTGACGGAATCCGTGAAGAGGAGTAGTAGCAGGAGAAGGAGCATCTGAACGAGCGGAATATGCCAACAAGCGACAACAGTGGCCCATGACAGATTACGGGCCTGGCAGCAGCATGAGGAGTCGGTACGGGGGCCCATGGCAGATTACGGGCCTGGCAGCAGCTATGGGAGGCCCGTAATCTGCCAGCACCCTATGACAAAAAATGGAACCCACCAGCAGTGTGAGGAGACCTGAAAGTGGCACATGGCAGAGTGGCGATGGAGACAGCAGCAATGGGAGGCCGTACAGGGACCCATGAGAGACTCTGGACCTGGCAGCAGCATGAGGAGGCGGTATAGGGGCCCATGGCAGATTAGGGGCCTGGCAGCAGCTATGGGAGGCCCGTAATCTGCCAGCACCCTATGACAAAAAATGGAACACACCAGCAGTGTGAGGAGACCTGAAAGTGGCACATGGCAGAGTGTGGCGATGGAGGCAGCAGCAAATGGGAGGGCCGTACAGGGACCCATGAGAGACTCTGGACTTGGCAGCAGCATGAGGAGGCGGTATATAGGGGCCCATGGCAGATTAGGGGCCTGGCAGCAGCTATGGGAGGCCCGTAATCTGCCAGCACCCTATGACAAAAAATGGAACACACCAGCAGTGTGAGGAGACCTGAAAGTGGCACATGTTTGGGGCATGATTCATGGCGGATTTAGTCAGTTGTGTCAGGAACTGGTGGTTTGAAATCCAGACTAATCCACGCCTGATTCATTTTCACAAACGTGAGTCTCTCCACACTTTGGGTGGACAGTCGTGTCCTCCGCGGAGTTGCAATACCTCCTGCCGCACTAAACACGCGCTCCGATGCCACGCTACTGGCCGGGCATGACAGCCTTTCAAGGGCAAATTCAGCTAGTTGGGGCCAAAGGTCAAGTTTCGTTGCCCAGTAGTCAAGGGGATTGTCTACCTCGGTTGGCAGGGTGCTGTCCAAGTAGGCCTAAGCCTGTTGTTTGAGGTCCTGCTCCAGGTCCACCTGATGCTGCTGCTGCTGCTGCGGCTGGTTAGTAGTTTCCTCACTGCGCTGGTGAAGAAAGCTACTCATCATCGACTGCAGACTGAGGCAGCCGCTGCTGGTGGAGCTGCCACTGCTCCTACCACCCCACCCTCCCCTGCTGCCATGGCAGCGGAACACGAGCGCACAGGGCCCACAGTGTCTGAGGATGGACGTTGGCGCAGACAGGCAGAGACCAGCTGACTACATAGGTGTTTTTTATAGTACGTTATTTTGGCCTCCCTCTCAGCAGGTGTGAAAAAGGCCACCATTTTTGAACGTAGCGAGGGTCCAACAAGGTGGACAGCCAAAAGTCATCCCTCTGTCTGATGGTTATTATTCGGCTGTCGCTACGCAAGCAAACCGAGCATGCTATGGGCCATTTGTGCCAAGGAATGCGAGGGACTCCCTGCCTCCATCTCCACAGCATACTGCCACGGTGCGTCTAGGTCCTCTGTCTCCTCTTCCTCCTCCTCTACCAGATGCTCCTGCTCCTCCACTCCTGTCCGCTGAGTGGAAAAACCCATTTCACTCAATAATTCCTGAGCACCAATGTCCTCCTCTACCTCCTCCTCTTCTTCCAGTCCTGCCCCCACAGGGGCCATGTGGCGTTGAGATCTGTGCGCCACGTCTACCGCACCCTGACCAGCCATTGTTAACAGCATTTGTTCCAGGACGTGCAACAGAGGAATGACGTCGTTCATCCCATAGTCCTGCCGACTCACGAATAGCGTGGCCTCCTCAAAGGGCCTGAGCAAGCGCAGGTGTCACGCATGAGCTGCCAATGGCTGACATCTAAGTTACACAGGGAGTACCTTTATCTGCTTTTAACATCAGGAAATCTGTGATGGCCTTTTGCTGTTCGTAAAGGCGGTCTAACATATGTAGGGTTGAATTCCACCTTGTTGCAACGTCACAGCATGAGGAGTCGGTATAGGGGCCCATGGCAGATTAGGGGCCTGGCAGCAGTTATGGGAGGCCCATAATCTGCCAGCACCCTATGACAAAAAATGGAACACACCAGCAGTGTGAGGAGACCTGAAAGTGGCACATGGCAGAGTGTGGGCGATGGAGACAGCAGCAATGGGAGGCCGTACAGGGACCCATGAGAGACTCTGGACCTGGCAGCAGCATGAGGAGGCGGTATATAGGGGCCTACGGCAGATTAGGGGCCTGGCAGCAGCTATAGGAGGCCCGTAATCTGCCAGCACCCTATGTCAAAAAATTCAACACACCAGCAGTGTGTGAGGAGACCTGAAAGTGGCACATGGCAGAGTGTGGCGATGGAGACAGCAGCAATGGGAGGCCGTACAGGGACCCATGACAGACTCTGGACTTGGCAGCAGCATGAGGAGGCGGTATATAGGGCCCATGGCAGATTAGGGGCCTGGCAGCAGCTATAGGAGGCCGTTAATCTGCCAGCACCCTATGTCAAAAAATTCAACACACCAGCAGTGTGAGAGACCTGAAAGTGGCACATGGCAGAGTGTGGGCGATGGAGACAGCAGCAATGGGAGGCCGTACAGGGACCCATGACAGACTCTGGACTTGGGCAGCAGCATGAGGAGGCGGTATATAGGGGCCCATGGCAGATTAGGGGCCTGGCAGCAGCTATGTGAGGCCCGTAATCTGCCAGCACCCTATGTCAAAAAATTTTACACACCAGCAGTGTGAGGAGACCTGAAAGTGGCACATGGCAGCAGAGTGTGGCGATGGAGACAGCAGCAATGGGAGGCCGTACAGGGACCCATGACAGACTCTGGACTTGGCAGCAGCAGCATGAGGAGGCGGTATATAGGGGCCCATGGCAGATTAGGGGCCTGGCAGCAGCTATGGAGGCCCGTAATCTGCCAGCACCCTATGTCAAAAAAAATAACACACCAGCAGTGTGAGGAGACCTGAAAGTGGCACATGGCAGCAGAGTGTGGCGATGGAGACAGCAGCAATGGGAGGCCGTACAGGGACCCATGACAGACTCTGGACTTGGCAGCAGCATGAGGAGGCGGTATATAGGGGCCCATGGCAGATTAGGGGCCTGGCAGCAGCTATGGGAGGCCCGTAATCTGCCTGCACCCTATGTCAAAAAATTTAACACACCAGCAGTGTGAGGAGACCTGAAAGTGGCACATGGCAGCAGAGTGTGGCGATGGAGACAGCAGCAATGGGAGGCCGTACAGGGACCCATGACAGACTCTGGACTTGGCAGCAGCAGCAGGAGGAGGCGGTATATAGGGGCCCATGGCAGATTAGGGGCCTGGCAGCAGCTATGTGAGGCCCGTAATCTGCCTGCACCCTATGTCAAAAAATTTAACACACCAGCAGTGTGAAGAGACCTGAAAGTGGCACATGGCAGCAGAGTGTGGCGATGGAGACAGCAGCAATGGGAGGCCGTACAGGGACCCATGAGAGACTCTGGACTTGGCAGCAGCATGAGGAGGCGGTATATAGGGGCCCATGGCAGATTAGGGGCCTGGCAGCAGCTATGTGAGGCCCGTAATCTGCCTGCACCCTATGTCAAAAAATTTAACACACCAGCAGTGTGAAGAGACCTGAAAGTGGCACATGGCAGCAGAGTGTGTGGCGATGGAGACAGCAGCAATGGGAGGCCGTACAGGGACCCATGAGAGACTCTGGACCTGGCAGCAGCAGGAGGAGGCGGTATATAGGGGCCCATGGCAGATTAGGGGCCTGGCAGCAGCTATGTGAGGCCCGTAATCTGCCTGCACCCTATGTCAAAAAATTTAACACACACCAGCAGTGTGAAGAGACCTGAAAGTGGCACATGGCAGCAGAGTGTGGCGATGGAGACAGCAGGTGTGGCGATGGAGACAGCAGCAATGGGAGGCCGTACAGGGACCCATGACAGGACTCTGGACTTGGCAGCAGCATGATGAGGAGGCGGGTATTATAGGGGCCCATGGCAGATTAGGGGCCTGGCAGCAGCTATGTGAGGCCCGTAATCTGCCTGCACCCTATGTCAAAAAATTTTACCACACCAGCAGTGTGAAGAGACCTGAAAGTGGCACATGGCAGCAGAGTGTGGCGTGGACAGCAGCAATGGGAGGCTAGTAACAGGGACCATGACAGGACTCTGGACTTGGCGCAGCAGCATGAGGAGGGTGGTATATAGGGGCCCATGGCAGATTAGGGGCCTGGCAGCAGCTATGTGAGGCCCGTAATCTGCCTGCACCCTATGTCAAAAAATTTAACACACACCAGCAGTGTGTGAAGAGACCTGAAAGTGGCACATGGCAGCAGAGAGTGTGGCGATGGAGACAGCAGCAATGGGAGGCCGTACAGGGACCATGACAGACTCTGGACTGTGGCAGCAGCATGAGGAGGCGGTATATAGGGGCCCATGGCAGATTAGGGGGCCTGGCAGCAGCTATGTGAGGCCCGTAATCTGCCTGCACCCTATGTCAAAAAATTTTTAACACACCAGCAG